GGAGCTGTGAAGAATGGAGGTGATTGGGTCTTGGCTAGGGGGCCTCCTGTAAACTGTCTGTAGGCCCGTTGGGCAGAGGGCAATGAGGGATCCCGGAATGCTTTTAAAAAATATTACTTTTTTTTTTTTTTGAGACAAGAGTCTCGGCTTGCTTTGCCAGGCTGGAGTGGCAGTGGCGGCTATCTCGGCTCGCACTGCAATCTCCGCCTCCCCGCGTTTCACATCCATTCCCTTGCCTCAAACTTCCCGGAGGCTGGGACACAGGCGCCTGCCCACCACGCCCGTAATTTTTGGTTTTTTTAGTAGAGACAGGGTTCCAACGTAAGCCAGGATGGTCTCGACTTCCTGACTCGTGATCGCCCACCTCTTGCCTTCCAAAGTGCTGGGATTTACAGGCGTGAGCCACGCGCCCCAGGCCTAAAAATATGTTTTTTTAAAATTATTGGTAAATACAGCCACACTAACAGTTGACCCTGAATGGTTTTATTTAGATTTGTAGTAGGCCAGCTGGCCCAGTTGGGCCTCAGAGAAAATGGAGTGCACTTAATTTAGGGATGAAACATAGGAGGGCTATTGGCCCCTGCTTGGATGATCTGCTTAGTAGGGAACGCTGAGTTCTTGTGGCCAGTGTCCTGCCTACAGAGGAGTTAGAATTTTGAAAACTTGGACTCTCTTACACCCTGCTGTATATCCTTAGGGTGGCTGCGCCAGAAGGATTGTTGGCCAAGGCATTTGATCTTTTCTTCATATTAGGATTTAGACTCATGGTTAGGCTGGGGGGCTAATCAGAGTTGGATGGACTTTGTTTACTGGTTCCACTTGTATGTATGCGAAAGGAGGAAAAAATGGTTAATGAGGGTTAGAGGTCCTTATGGGCATCCCTACACAACTGGCCTAGGCATTTGTACTGGGTTGGAGCAGGCCATCCAAGTTTTGGGCGGGCAGCAGAAAGATGTTAGTGCGAAAGGAGAAGCTGTACATTGCTAGGCGTAGCCTCGTATTGCTTTGAGGAAAATCATTTACTCTTTTGACCTCAGTGTTATTTGTGAAGCCACTGGTAGCCAGTACACACCATAGTCGTGTTTGGGGGAAGATTAGAAAGACCATATGCCTGTCACAGGCATGTTTGGCCTTATGCCTGAATCCCAGCACTTTATGTAGGCCGAGGGGGGTGGTCACAGGTCAGGGAGATCGAACATCCTGGCTAACATGGGTGAAACCCGTGGTCTCTACTAAAAATACAAAAAATTAGCCAGGCCTGCTGGGGCGGGCCTGTAGTCCCAGCCTACCTTGGGAGGCTGAGCAGGGAGAATGGGATGAAGCCGGAGGTAGGTTGCAGTGAGTGAGATCACGCCACTGCACTCGCCAGCTGGGCGACAAGAGGCCAAGATTCATCTCACCATCTCACAAGAAAAAACACAAAAACAAACAAAAAAAGATAATACCGATATGGCTAAACGTCTATCCTGAGGTCCAGAAATAGGGCCTCGCGTGTTGTGATGATTATTACGTCATTTTGTTCCTCTCTTCCAACCTGGCAGCTCATCTGCTTTCTAGGGGTGCTGTGACACTTTTCTCAGGCCCATGGGAGTAGGAGAAAGCTCTATTCTACTCTTTTTTTTGTTTTTTTTTTGAGACTGGGGGAGGCGGAGATTGCAGTGAGCCGAGATAGCGCCACTGCACTCCAGCCTGGGCAACAGAGCGAGACTCTTGTCTCAAAAAAAAAAAAAAAAGTAATAATTTTTTAAAAAGCCATTCCGGGATCCTCATTGCCCTTGCCAAGGCTACAGAGTTTACAGGAGGCTGAGCCAAGACCAATCTCATTCTTCACAGCTCCCACTCTTCCCCACATATCCCACTTCCCTCTGACTACCCAACTCAGTCCTGGGAGTGCCGCAGGAACCCAGTTGCCTTATTCTGGAATTAGAATCCCTGGCCACCTTAGAAATTTACCTCAAAGTTTTTCTGCCACTCTCTTTCCCGTTTGGCTTTTTCTTGAGCTTCAATCTCTTCTTCCCTTTGTCGTTTCCTAGGAGGAAAACCAGATCATATTATTTATATGATACTTACAGACTGAATTAACCATACAAGATGGCATCTCCCCACAGAAGCAAGCATATATAGTAAATCAGTTCCCCTAGAAGTCTACAAAGATGGCTGTCTGGAAAGGGCTCAAAGTATTTTCATGAATGTCTCATTCTAAAACACGCAGATCAGACTGTGGGCATGGCTGTGGGGAAAGACATAAATATCTCTGTTACACAGATAAAGTAACCAAAGCCCAGCCAAGAGCAATGTGAGGTTTTGGGCTGTTTCAGTGACAAAGCTATGTCGAGAACACAGGCCACCTTACTTCAGCAGAATGACCATTATAAACCCAAAGTTCTTAAGATCTCTGGACAAAACCCTATCCCAAAACTAAGACATTTCACACAACCTCAACTAGCAAATTTTAGTTACTGGTACATACCAAACAACATTATAAAATATATAGAGAAACAAAACTCGGCCGGACATAGTGGCTCACACCTGTAAGCCCAGCACTTTGAGAGGCTGGGGTGGGTGGATCACGTGAGGTCAGGAGTTCGAGACCAGCCTGATGAACATGGTGAAACCCCGTCTCTATTAAAAATGTAAAAATTAGCTGGGCAGGAGAATTCAGGCAGGAGAATCACCTGAACCCAGGAGGTGAAGGTTGCAGTGAGCTGAGATTGCACCACTGCACTCCAGCTTGGGCAACAAGAGCAAAACTCTAACATTTCTGATGTTCAAGAGAAATCATATTTTAGAACATTAAACATTTTGTTACCGATGACACTGTACAGTACTATACACTCACCAAAGCTGCAGCCACTAGTCCCACAAAATGTTCTGGCCTCAGTAACAGTGGCCTTAACAGCTGCTTATTTCACTCCAGGACGTCAGGAAGAACACACATAAGGCTCTTGATTATAAATAATCTCCCTGAGAGTGTGCGGTGGCTCACGCCTGTAACCCTAGCACTTTAGGAGGCCAAGGCAGGTGGATCACAAGGTCTGGAGATTGAGACCATCCTGGCCAACATGGTGAAACCCCATCTCTACTAAAATACAAAAAATTAGCCGGGCATGGTGGTATACACCTGTAGTCCCAGCTACTTGGGAGGCTGAGGCAGGGGAACTGCTAGAACCTAGGAGGTGGAGACTGCAGTGAGCCAAGACTGCCCCACTGCATTCCAGCCTGGCAACAGAGCAAGACTGTATCAAAAAAATAAATAAAAAATACACTCCCTAAGGACAGAGCTATTCAGTAATTCCCAAAAGTCAAAGGAAAAAAAACTTATTACCCTGGTGATTCAAAAGCTTGATTGTGGCCAGGCGCGGTGGCTCAAGCCTGTAATCCCAGCACTTTGGGAGGCCGAGACGGGCAGATCACGAGGTCAGGAGATCGAGACCATCCTGGCTAACCCGGTGAAACTCTGTCTCTACTAAAAAAAATACAAAAAAACTAGTCCTTGCTACTGTAGGGACTGCTACTCTGGAGGCTGAGGCAGGAGAATGTCGTGAACCCAGGAGGTGGAGCTTGCAGTGAGCCGAGATCGCGCCACTGCACTCCAGCCTGGGTGAAAGAGCAAGACTCCATCTCAAAACAAAAAACAAAAAACAAAAAAAATAACAAAAGCTTGATTGTTTTTTGGTAACTATTTTTATAGTCTCTTAAATGATATGCCACATAATTCCTTCATTAGGAAAATCATCAAAGACCAATGTTAGTTAATCTAGGGATTTAAATATGGTTTAAAATGAATATACTGATATGTACCTTTCATGCATCTCTTTGGCTTCTCTCTCTTTCCTTTTAATTTCCAGCTCAGCAAAGAGTTTCATTGTCTGTTTATATACAGCTTGTTTGAACTACAAGAAAATCAAGAACAAAAGAAAATCAGAGTAAATATTTTTACCAGCAATTTGAACCATGTACTTTCACTTGGAGCCCAAGATAAAGCAGATTAAAACCTGGCACAGGCTGGGCACAGTGGCTCACACCCGTAATTCCAACACTTTGGGAGGCCAAGGGAGGACAATCGCTTGAGGCTAACAGCTTGACTAGCCTGGGCAACATAGTGAAACTCTATCGCTACAAAAAAAAAATTATTTAAACTAGTGCGCAGGCCAGGAGTGGTGGCTCACACTTGTAATCCCAGCACTCTGGGAGGCCAAGGAGAGCAGATCACCTGAGGTCAAGAGTTCAAGACCAGCCTGGCCTGAACATGGAGAAACTCTGTCTCTACTAAAAATATAACAATTAGCCAGGCATGGTGGTGTGTGCCTGTAATCCCAACTACTCGGGAGACTTAGGCAGGAGAATCACTTGAACTTAGGAGGCAAAGGTTGCAGCGAGCCACGATCATCCATTGCACTCCAGCCTGGGCAACAAGAGCGAAACTCCCATCTCAAAATCAAACAAAAATTAGCAGGGCATGGTGGTGCACATTTGTAGATCCAGCATTTCAACAGGGGGAGGCAGGAGGATCACTTAAGTCCTCGAGTCTGAGACCACCCTGAGCAACATAGTGAGATCCCATCTCTACAAAAAATATTAAAAATAAAACATTAACCAGGTATGGCTACACACACTTGTAGTCCCAGCTACTCAGGAGGCTGAGGTGGGAGGACTGCTTGAGCTCAGGAGGTCAAGGCTGTAGTGAGCCATGACTATGCCACTGCACTCCAGCCTGGACAACAGAGCAAGACTCTATCTCTTTAAAAAAAAAAAAAAGTATATTACATGGTAGTCTTACAAAGATAGGAACAGAAGCTATCATTATTTATTATTATTGTTTTTGTCTCAATCTGTCACCCAGGCTAGAGTGCAGTGGTGTGATCATAGCTCACTACAGCCTCAAACTCCTAGGCTGAAAAGATCCTCCCACTTCAGCCCCCAAAGCACTCGGATTATAGGTATGTGCCACCAGAGGTTATTATTAGAATGTATAATATCCACTAAGGTGGGAGGATCACTTGTGCCCAGGAGGTCGAGGCTGCAGTGAGTTAAGATCACGCCACTATACTCCAGCTGGGGTGACGAAGGGAGACCCTAGCTCTAAAAAAATTACCAAAAAATAAATGAAGGTAAATGTCACACCAAGTTAATGAAATTACAATCCCCTCCCTACCAGTTTTTAATCCTTTATTTTCAAGAGTTCTTAAGAACAGAGCTTATGTTATTCTACCTTTAAATATTTTTCTCCAGATATAATGTATCTTAAATAGACATGTAAGTACAAAAGTAATCTGTCATGCAGATTGAATAGTGCCTAAATTCTAAAATCAGACACTGGAGCAAAGAGTGACATATGGAGAGAAAGGAAAATAAAGAAGTCCCTAAATTTCTGTGACTTTTCTTTTATCCTGTTACCTACTAGACACTGCTCACTAAAAGAAATGCTTCACACCCCGATGCACTGGCCTGTATCCAGCTACTTGGGAGGCTGAGGCAGGAGAAACGGCTTGAACCGGAGGCAGAGGTTGCAGTGGGCCAAGATCACGCCACTGCACCCCAGCCTGGCCAACATAACAACGACTCCGTCTCAAAACAATAACAACCAACAACAAACATTTTATTTGAACTTAAAATGTATAAATATATATTATTAATGTATTTGAGACAGGGGTCTTACTCTGTTGCCCAGGCTAGAGAGCAGTGGTGCGATCCTCAGCTCACTGCCACCTCTGCCCTCCCAGGTTCAAGTGATTCCTCCTGCCTTAGCCTCCTGAGCTAGCTGGGATTACAGAATGTGCACCATCAAAGCCTGCCTAATTATTGTATGTTTAATAGAGACGGGATATCACCATGTTGCTCAGGCTGATCTCAAACTCCTCACCTTCAAAGTAATCTGCCCGCCTTGGCCTCCCAAACTGCTGGGATTACAGGTGTGGGCCCACCGCACCTGGCCAAACTTTCTTCAGTGTGTTTTGTTTTTTCCTGATTATAAAAGAACACATGCTAATGACAGACAATTTGGAAAAGCAGAGATATAAAGCAAATACTAAAAATCACCAAGTGTCTGTCCTATCCAGTGTTTGGCAGCTTTTAAAGCATATTGAGCTTTCATCTACAGATTCCTTTACTTATCTTGGATATTCTGGTCTTTATTAAGGGGACTGGAGTTTGTGAAGGATTTTTTTTTCTTTTACTTTTTTATGAGACGGAGAGTCTCGCTCTGTCGCCCAGGGCCTGGAAGTGCGTGGCCGGGATCTCAGCTCACTTGCAAGCTCCGCCTCGCCGGGTTCCGCCCATTCTCTGCCTCAAGTCCTGGAGTAGCTGGGACACAGGCGCCCGCGCACCTCGCCGGCTAGTTTTTTGTATTTTTTAAGTAGAGACCGGGGCGTCTTCACCAGTGTTAGCAGGGATGGTCTCGATCCTCCTGACCTCTGATCCACCCGTCTCCGTCCACCGTGCTCGATTCGGTTGGCGGCCGGCTTGGAACATA